TCTCTCTCTCTCTCTCTCTCTCTCTCTCTCTCTCTCTCTGACACACAAAGTGCAGCTATACAAATCTCTCACAGAAGTCATACACAAGCTCTCTCTCTCCGTCCCCATCTCTCTCTCAAAAAAAAAAAAAACACATACACAAACACAGAACACAACCAAACAACAATGACGAAGATGATGGAAACAAGTGAGAAACATTAAAAACAAGAGAAACAGATATCTTACTTTCTGAGAGGAAGGCTTCCAACAACTGACTCGAGAACACCTTCCCTCCCTCCACCTCACTCATACCCCCACCACCTTCCTCTTTGTTCCCATATCTCTCCTCCTCCGCCCCTTTACCCGGGCCCACCTCACTCCTCCCCCCATTTTTGGGCCCCAAACCTACAGGCCTCCATAGTTTCACCACAGACCTTGAAATCCCATTTTGCCCCAAACCACTCTTCTTAGCAGTCACTCGAGCCCCACCAAGAACCACAGATATCGACCCAATGAGGACCTCACATCTCTCATCATTATCTCTATGCACCATACTCTCAACCTTCTGCAACCCCTCGTCGCCTCTACACACTGCTTTCTCGTCCATACATGACCGATTGTCATCTCCATGCAGAACCCTCTCATTCATAAATGAAACCATGTTGTTTCCGTGCCCAATCCTCTCATCCATACTTGACCCCTCTTTTTCATGCACGGCTCTGCCATCCATACTTGAGCCCTCATCACTTCCATGCATCACCCTCTCCTCCATACATGATCCCTCCTCTCCATGCACCGCGCCCTTGTCCCTACATGATCCCTCATAGCTTCTGCATGCCACCTTCCTGTCCATACACGTCCCCTCTTTACTTCTGTGCACAGCCCTGTCATCCACAAAAAACCCCTCACTGCTCCTACACACCCCCCTCTCGTCTGTACACAACCCCTCATGATCAGGCTTGACCTTTGGGGCCCACACCAAGTGGCCACTAGATGGGGGTGGGGCCCTTGAGTAGCCTCTAAACCTTGGCCCGGCCCTCGATATGGGATGACGAGGTGGGGCCACCTGGTGCCTTTCCAGGCCATTGACCACCTTGTAGGCTCCATTGTCCATGTCAGCCTGTGTGTGGGCACCGCCTTCTGCATCAGCATCTGTGCCAGACTCATTCGTCAAATCTGACAGAGATGGTAGGCCCGGATTGGTGGTGGAGCCGGGACTGGAGGAAGAGGTCATATCGAGGGGATCAGTGGAGCCTTCCTCAGAGAAGCCCTCTGCCACCTTGTCAGTGTCAGCCTGGTCCTTGGCTTTGAGCTCTCTCTGCCTTAGTTTCTTCAGCCGCTTCTTTTCCAAGATCTCGGCTTGCCTGTCCAATCAAAACATGGGAAGAATGAGGGTGTGGTTCACACACACACAGATTAGAGTGGTTGTGTAGAAGGAAAACTAAGAATTCGTAAAAAGGGTAATAATCTCAAAAAGAGCATGGGGAGATAAGTTGCTACTCATGCAAGGGCATGCTCACATGGTTTGTAAGATTATAGAGAGGTGAAATGGGACAAAAACAAGCAAAGCAGAGAGAACAGAGAGGTACAGAGAAAAGACAAAAGGAAATGCTGAGAAAGAGAGAGCACTAGCTTATATCCAAAAAAGGTGCCAAGTTCAAACTATATCTTTTATCTTAGAATCTTTACCCACTCGAACGGTTAAGAAAGAGCAATATCGATAATTCTGCATTTCAAAATATATATATATGGGAAACTCTGAGATCAGCCCTCTAGCTGACAGCCACAGTAAACGCCCAATGGCCCAGAGTGAATCTAGACCGATTTAATGGTCACGACAGCATTTCGTGTTTGAATTTTAATTTTTTGTTCCACAAATCCAAATCACTTGAAATTTGGAAGATCCATTATTATAAAATAAGTGAATCTAATAAAAATATCAAAAACATAATTCATAAAAAATCAATGGACCAAAATAACCTTGAAAATTTTAGGGGCAGTTTGGTCAATTTATTTTTTTTGAATAATTGTTTTAATATTTTAATTAGGTGCATCTTGATGAGAAGCGTGGACATCCCAAATTTCATGTGTTTTGGATTTGTACAAAAAAAGTTAAAATTCAAATACAAAATGCAGTTGTGACTGTTCAATCCACCTAGATTCAATCTGTCGTTGGGCTTAACACTGTTCCATCAACCCATGGGCTGACAGGATCTTATTCTTATGAAGCCATACTATGAAGCTCTGGGAGAGAGTCATTGAGCAACGACTAAGACATAAAACGAGGGTATCTGAAAACCAATTTGGTTTTATGTTAGGAAAGTCAACAATTGAGGCTATTTTCCTACTTAAGCAACTGATTGGGAAGTTTAGGGCAAAGGGAAAAGACCTCCACATGGTATTTATTGATCTAGAGAAAGCTTATGATAGAGTATCTCGAGATTTGATTTGGAAGGTTGAAAAAAAAGGCATCTATAAACACTACATCAACTTGGTGAGAGATATGTATAATGGAGAGCTAACTATTGTACAAACAACTAATGGAGTGATGAATGAGTCTTCAGTGACAATAGCTCTACATCAAGGGTCAGCATTGAGCAATACCTCTTTATCTTAGTTATGGACGACTTAACTAAGTATCTACAGGATGAGGTACCGTGGTGCATGTTATTTGCAATGACATAGTTTTCACTGATAAGACCCGAAACAGCGTCGACACAAAGTTAGAACTTTGGAGGGATGCTCTAGAATCCAAAAGTTTTAAAATTAGTCGGACTAAGACAGAGTATATGGAGTGCAAGTTTAGTAATAATAGGAGTAGAGATAAGGAAATAGTTAAGATTGACGTCCAAGAAGTACATAAACAACCGAATTTTCGATATCTTGGGTCGATAATCCAGAAAAATAGAGATATCGAGGAAGATGTCGCACACAGAATTAGAATTGGGTGGGCGAAGTGGAAATGTATAACTTGAATTTTAGGTTATCGCCGCATACCAATGAGACTGAAGGGCAAATTCTATAGGACAGTGGTGCGACCAATGTTGCTCTGTGAGGCGAAATGTTGGACGGACAACAACCACTATACCCAGCGAAGATAAGGATGTTTAGATGGATGAGTCGCAAGACAAGAAGGGGTAGAATTTGAAATGAATCTATTCGAGAGTATTTAGGCGTGGCACCAATAGCCGATAAAATGAGAGAGAGTAGACTTAGGAGGGCTAGCAATGTTTGGCGCCAACCAAGTACAGCACCTGTTAAGAGGTGCGAGTTAGTTCAAGTGGAATGACTGAAAATGACAAGGGGTAGGCTCAAAAGGATATGGTTGGAAGTAGTCCGACAAGATATGGAGAATTATGGCCTCACTGAAGATATGGCTTTTAATAGAACAGAATGAAAAATCAAGATTCATGAAGCCGGCCCCAATTAATTGGGAAAAAGATCGATGATGATGATGATATATATTATATTATATTACATATATATATATATATATATATATTATTTTATATTATGTTATATATATATGTATAGTATACATATATATGTATAGTATATATACATATATATGTACATACGTATATACATGTATGTATATACATGTATATACATGTATATATGTATATACATGTATACAGGTATATACGCATGTATGCATGTATGTATATGTATGTATATATACATGTACATATATACATACACATATGTATACATGTATATAT